AGGTCATGCACAGCGATGCACAGCAGGTCACCTGACCATCCAATCCTTCAAGCAGGTTCCAGCACATGCCAAAGTATACCAGCTACTTCCATGTCATAAAGGCTTAGTCATGTCTCTTGACCAAGCAATGAGCTGGTGCCCTGACAGAGGTCAACAGTATGCTTCTCATTGACCACTTGTCCGCTACCGCTTCCTCTTGTTTTCTTGTCACTTAGTTGCAACATTGTTATCTCCACCAGCAACAGTGGCTCTGTCTAGCTATTGTGCATTTCTTCAAGCTTGAACTGGGCTGGAGTCAAGGGTCAGATGACAGGCCATGTTAAACAAGTGTGGGAAGAGCCCAATGAGAGAGATAGTGAAGAAGCCAAGGACCACAATGAGAGATGGCATTGCCATCTACAGAATATGTTCAATGCAGAGCCACTATGTACTGCTCTGCACCTACCTCCCAATTATGTCTGGTTCAGTGTACATGAAGGACACAAAGCCATTGCCTCACCTTCAAACTGAGCAGATCAAATGGATACCAATGTATGGCATGGAACCACATGTTGTGAGTATCATGGTTTCATGGAGAGGAACTTCCCAGCCCATGTCTTGTCTGCTAGTCACAAGTGGAGGGCACCATCTCTTGCAGTGCACCTCAACTGAACACAATCTTCCTGCTAGATGGGACCCAAGTGAAGAGGAAGAGTGGACATCTGGGTTGTCACAACAACACTTCCAGTCTGCAGAGAACAAGTCACTCTCCCAGTTGCCTGATGGAGGAAGACATGTCTTGATGGAAGAGATGATAGACTCACTCCGAAACAACATACTGTGACTAGCCCTTCAGCTGCCTCCATGTGCATTTGCTCCTTTGAATACCTCTGCTTATTACAAATGAAGTGTATCATGCTCATCAGCATTGTCTTCTACATTAGCGTTAACCCATATATCAGAAACTCAACATCTCCTCCCGATCCCTTGGCCACACTCTCCTGGAGGCAGGAAGTGTGATGATGGTTCCTCAATGTGCCAAACTCTCACTGAGCCAGTAGAGTCTAAGTTTTTAAATCATTGTCCACCATCACCTGCCTCTTCAAGGAATGGATCTGAATGTCTAGATGATGCAGAAGTGGAGTCTCCATCTGTTTGCCATGCAGAATCAATTCCCCAGGAAGACATGCAAAATTCCACTTTTCAATCATGTGTTCTGTTCTCTAACAGTGCAACAAGGTCTTGTACTGAGATGGTCATCCTAGTCAGTTTTCTTGGGAACCATCTCTGAGTTTGGGTTCCAACCATCAACACCCTAAGCTGGTAATCACAGGGAAGGAAGGTATATTTGCCTCCTTGATTCAAGGGGATGGATGGGATGTGCCATTTTTCCCATCTGACTCTCCAATCCCCTTGAATCACATAACAATGGTATTTGGCGGTCCTACTCATAATTTGGCCAATCTGCAAGACCAGAGTGATCTCTTGGACTTTCCACCTCATCCTGACCCACATACACCTGGCATTGGTAGCATGTCACCCTCTCTGTTAGTTCCCACTTGGGAAAGTCATCATCAACCCATTGAGGAACATGATCTCCCCTGGTCTGTAGAAGTAGACCACAGGACTCTTTGCAATGAACAAATACTGGTAACAAGTGCAGAGACAGAGGGGGACTCTTGTGCTCT